CTGGGCTCTGTAGGGACTCAGACTTGACCTCTGGAGGTTAATTCTGGCAGAGGTGGGATTGCAGAGAACTCCAAAGGCCATTTGGACAGAGAATTGTGCCCCAGCTTCCACCACCATCTCATCAGCTCATCCTCGGCTCTTTCATTCCACCTGCTCATCCCCCCAGAACTTTCTGGCAGCATCACCTCCTCCTCTGGGCACCCCCCACAGTGCCTGTGCTTCCTCCTCTCTGTAGAGATCAATCTCCCTGGAGCTCCCCGAAGACAACACTAGGTCTAATTCATCTGTGGGTTTCATTTCTGCTTGTCTAGACAACTGGCATTTACTGAGAGCTCCATACTTTGTATTAACACTTTTTTTTTGTTTGTTTGTTTGGTTGGTGTTTTGTTTTGTTTTATTGAGACAGAGTTTTGCTATTGTCGCCCAGGCTGAAGTGCAATGGCACGAAGTCGGCTCACTGCAATCTCCACCTCCTGGGTCCAAGCGATTCTCCTGCCTCAGCCTCTGGAGTAGCTGGGATTAAAAGCCCCCACCATCAGCAGGGCACAGTGGCTCATGCCTGTAATCCCAGCACTTTGAGAGGCCAAGGCGAGTGGATCACCAGGTCAAGAGATCAAGACCATCCTGGTCAACATGGTGAAACTCCATCTCTACTAAAAATACAAAAATTAGCTGGTCGTGGTGGCGGGCGCCTGTAATCCCAGCTACTCAGGAGGCTGAGGCAGGAGAATCGCTTGAACTCAGGAGACAGAGGTTGCAGTGAGCTGAGATTGTGCCACTGCACTCCAGCCTGGGCGACAGAGTGAGACTCCGGAAAAAAAAAAAAAACAAAAAACGCGCCCGCCACCATGTCCAGCTAATTTTTGTATTTTTTAGTAGAGACGAGGTTTCACCATGTTGGCTGGGCTCGTCTCGAACCCCTGACCTCAGGTGATCCACCCGCCTTGGCCTCCCAAAGTGCTAAGATTACAGGCGTGAGCCACTGTGCCTGGCCAATTTCTGTATTTTTAGTAGAGACGGGGTTTCACCATGTTTTCCAGGTTGGTCTTGAACTTCTGACCTCAAGCGATCTGCCCACCTCGGCCTCCCAGTGTGCTGGGTTTATAGGCATAAGCCACCATGCTGAGGCTCCAATCAGCTCATTTTTAGGAGGGTAGAACTTGGCTGGGGAGGGGTGGTGTTGGCCCCTCCTCAGGGTGCACCTGCACTCTGAGTCACCCTTTTCCCCAGAGCAGGAGTAGAGGTGGCCTTGGTCCGTTCATTTGCTTATTCCACACCTTTCCCAGCTGGGACCCAAGGGTCCTCTCCAACTTCTGGCTGTCCCAATATCCAGGGGTAAGGGGTGAGCCAGGCGGCTTTCTTTTCCTAAGGCTGTTCCTCAGCCTCTGGCGGGCCTGGAAGGGTTGTGGTATGAGCAGACAGGTATGCAGACAGGTGCCCTTGTCTGTGGCTGGCCCCCCCAAGTTCACAGGCAAGGCTGCGAGTGTCTGGGTGGCTGTGTGGTTGCAGGTGTCTTTGAGGACTGCTGCCTGGCCTACCACTACCCCATTGGGTGGGCTGTGCTCCGGCATGCCTGGACTTATCGGATCCAGGAGGTGAGCGGGAGCTGCAATCTGCCTGCTGCAATGTGAGTGGGGCCGTGGGGGCTGGCAGGGTGAGGTGCACACACAGCCTCGCTCTCAGCCTATACCCTAACCTGGGCACCCTGCTCTGCTCACCACAGATTCTACCTCCCCAAGAGACACAGGAAGGTGTGTGGGAACCCCAAGAACAAGGAGGTGCAGAGAGCCATGAAGCTCCTGGATGCTCGCAATAAGATTTTTGCAAAGTTCCGCCACAACACGCAGACCTTCCCAGGTGAGCGAGACCCCCATTGGGCATCTAGGGAGCCCGCCCTCCCTGCCTGCAAGCCCATGTGTGGCTCAGACCCCGAGGGAGGGAATTGGAGACCAGAATACTGACACCTGCCTGAACCCCACACAAAGCCAGTTGCTGGTGAGTGGGGCACCAAGTGAATGACCAACTTACTGAGTCATTGTTCAGTTTTTGTTTTTGGAGATGGGGTCTTGCTCTGTTGCCCAGGCTGGAGTGCAGTAGCATGACCATAGCTCACTGCAGCCTCGAACTCATGGGCTCAAGCAATCCTCTCACTTCAGCCTCCCAAAGTAGGTGGGATTACAGGTGTGTGCCACCAGTCCAGCTCTTTTATTATTATTATTTTGAGACAGAGTCTTACTGTGTCACCCAGGTTGGAGTGCAGTGGTGCCATCACAGCTCACTGCAGCCTTGACCTCCCAGGCTCAAGCAATCCTCCTACCTCAGCCTCCTGAGTAGCCAGGACTACAGGCATGCTCCACTAATGCAGCTCATTATTATTATTATTTTAGTTTTTATTTTTATTTTTTGAGATGGAGTCTTGCTCTGTCATCCAGGCTGGAGTGCAGTGGCACGATCTCGGCTCACTACAACCTCTGCCTTCCGAATTGAAGTGATTCTCCTGCCTCAGCCTCCTGAGTAGCAGGAGCGCAGGCTCATGCCACCACGCCTGGCTAATTTTTGTATTTTTAGTAGAGACGGGATTTCACCATGTTGGCCAGGCTGGTCTTGAACTGCTGACCTCAGATGATCTGCCCGCCTTGGCCTCCCAGAGTACTAGGATTATAGGCGTGAACCATCATGCCCGGCTGCAGCTCA